CTGCACATCACTGCAGCTGTCTGCCAAAAAGGGTCACTGCTGTGCAGCCCCTGAAGAAACATTTGAGCTCTGTGGACTTTCCTTGGTGAGCTGCCCCCTGCAGTGTACCAGATTTATCTGTCTGCAGTTGGTTTGACTGATCACTGGGGACTGCTGTGGTACCCTGGGTTTGTCGGTGCAACACCCTGCCAGCCACAGAAGTACAAGAGTGTAACTACATTACAGTTCAGCTGAGTCTGCTCTACAAGCTCACAGAAATAAAATCAACCCAGATGCTTTCTCCTTAGTTTATTGCCTTTCCACACTACTAACCTAGGCTTTATGTGACAATCCTGACTCCTTGGCAGCACGGAAGGCTTTCCTTATGCGTGTCTTCTTTGCACAGATGCAAACCCTGAATATTATATTTATATAATATTTAAAAAAAAACGAAACAACAAACGAAAACAGCAAGCCTAAGCAGTTCAAGTATGGAATTTCATGTTCCAAAGTCATTAAGAAGTCAAATGCAGAATCTGTAGGAGGTTAGCTCAGTATCCTTGTGTAGGAGAAGATTGCAGATGCTGTAGCTGCAAAGTGGAGCCTTCATTTAGAGCAGCAGCAGCAGTTCCAAACATGGCTTTTACTGGTGCTGTGCATTTGTACCAGTAATTTACACTAGGTTGGCTTTATCTGTGTGATCTTACTGGTCCTTGTGTCCCTAATCTGAATGAAGCACGTACTCAGCTGGTTTCATGAAGTCCTTACAAGCTACTTCACAAGCAAATACTAATATGTAGTAAGCTAAGCTTAAGGATCATGTGATTCTTTAGATGGTAAATCTGGTGGCTCAGAGTTGTACACATATTTGGCAGATTATCGGTTTATCACTCGTGGCTAATCTTCTAGAGAAGTGTGGCTTAATTCCTTTTGTTAACTAATTAAATAAACAAAGAGAAGTTAAAGCTGCATTTAGACTATTAAGACATATATTACTCACTCAGTGGTCTGTGCAGTTGGTATGAATGTATAATTAGTAACTCTGTCTAAATATGAAGGATAGTCACATGTTGTAAGCCATCAAATGTTGACGTGGGCTTGGGATTCAGAGTCAAGTCAATATGAAAATATGAATATAAACCAAGTCATGCTTTTCAGAGTAAATTCTCCAGCCTCAGACCTACCTGCCTCGTGTCTCAACAGCCCGCTCATGGCACAAACAGGTTGATAAAAGAGTCTCAGAGCACCTTTGCAACCAAAATTGCCCTTAGAACTCATAGCAGTCACTTGGCATGGACCAGGCGTCCCTGAGACAACTGAGCTGGGAGCCCACATGCAGCAGGGCTGTGCTTGTCATCCTCTTTGGAGCATACAGATATTACTGATATCCAAAGTAAAGGCATAAATACATTGTTTGATGTAATAATTATGTTTCAAAAACCTTTATTTGCTAGTGCTGACCTAGAGAAAAAGGCACAGAAGTCTCAAGGCTGCTGATCTTAACCCATGGAAATGGAATAAGCACAGGTGCTGAAAGCTAAGGCTTTTTCAATTTTCATGCCCGAGTGAGAAGTGTTTGCTCAGATGAACAAATTGCAGAAGAGCTCCAAAGTAATGCAGAAAGGAATGAGGTTCTTCAATATATACCAATTTCTGCTTGGGGAACAGTGAAATTCAGTCAGCAGTGCCCTGTCTCGGCTGCCTGTGCTGCTTTTGAGGGCAGATAATGTGGAGAAGAATTTGGCTGGTGTCAGCCCTTTTTGTCTCGCTAAATTGCCGAGAGTCCTGGGGTAAGCAAAGAGGGTAAAGCATGTGGGGGAAATTGTAATGCAGAGGAAATGGTAGAAGTGTTCTGCTCCAGCTATGGAGAACAGAGCTTCCTGTGTGAGTAATACCTGATGTTCCCATTTGTTTGTGGCAGTTGTAATATTCACATACGAAAAGAGAGAGAAACACGTGTTTGGGTGTATGGGTCTATAAATACACACACAAAATAGCAATTGTTTATATTGCATACATGCTGGTTTGGGGATCAGTTTCTGAGTGGTTTGTGGTATGGCAGTGGCTCAAATGAGTAGCAGTGTAAGAATTTAGGAGTTGTTTTTTTGTTTGTATTTTCTTTTCCTATGTGAAAAATGGAAAGATTAGGAATCTCTTTGAAAGGAGCACTTTCTGTCTGCAGGAGATACCCAGCTATCCTTGTTCAGAGATGACAAAGCTTAAGTTTGTCTGATTTATTGGAGATGGAATACTGAGGGCTCTAGCTTACTGAAATGAATTACTGCATAACTTTGTTGTATAAGTACCAAGCAAATGTGTGCCAGGCAAAAATCCAGAGATCTTCCAGTATGATAAGAAGAAGCATTGGCTTTGTAGTCTTACAGCACTCTAAAACAAGACACAACACAGAACTGATGATTTATAATTCCTTAATATCATTTCAGATTTTTAACGTTGTACCTCATCATTACACGTGAGTAGCTGCACTACCCATCTATATATCCATAGACACATAAGCTCAGAGTGGAGATAACATCCGTGTCTTTATGTAGATTTTGCTTTTATAAGATTGCTTTCGTTGCAGTCTGAAGTCAGAATCTCATGCTTTAATTTGGACATCTGCTCTTCAGAGAATAGTCAAGATATTTGGAGCACATAAGCATGGAATAAGCCAGAGAGGGTGAATGGAGGAGGAATGAGGGGAGAGGAGCAAATACATCCCTTTTTGCAGATGATTCCACTGATTCAGAACTCTGTTCTGGTGCTGCTGATGGAAACAAGTGCCTCTTTGCCACCATAGGAAATCTTCCCACAATGTTCCTGCATTAAGAAGGTTTGAAAAGAAGCTTTTAACAGCATTATTTGGGGGGGGATCTCTGTCCAATGCGTTCCCTGGGAGCGATCCTGGCTGGCGAGCCCAAACCTGGGGCATTTTTGTGTAGGCGTTTCAGATTGGAGGAACATCCCGTGTTTGTGAATTTGCCATTCTACAGGTGTAACTGGTGCTGTCTGTGTACCCATTCCGGGTCTGACAGATGACAGCTTTGCCTGTCACATGCTTGTGATCCAGGTTTGAATCTCTTAGGAAACCAAAAACAGCCTCCAGACCCCCTGCTTTCTAATTCTGCATGACTGAAGTCATTCAGCATGTTGTAAATACTGCTGCTCATTCCAAACACACCAGGTACCTGTGCACATATCATTGTCAGCGTATTTCTGCAGTAATGTGCAGTGGTTTAGCGTTGGGCAACTGGCACAAATTAAAAAGCTTGAGTCACAGCCTTGCCTTTTCTGCATACACCCACGTGTATCTGTTACATCCGTCTGCCTATGGGAGGAATGTGAATTGCAGCAGCACTGCAAACACCCTGCCAGCAAACAAGGAACTTGCACACACTCAGAAAATGGGTATCGGTGCAAAATCTGCGTCAGAAGAAGAGGAAGCGGGGAGTACAGCGAAGCGTTTGTTTGATGTGGCTGTAGGGGTCACTAAGAGATGTTTTTCTACCAGGGGATTACTGTGCAGACAACAGTGAAAATATGTCAGTGGTAAATGTTGGTGTGCTTTGTGACTGAGGCGTGCATCTTGATGTTTGGGTGACATTTTGCATATTTGTGAATGAAAGCCCTGTGTTCTGGCTCAGTTTTTGCCACAAGGCACAAAATCAGTCATTTTCCTGCAATTCAACCGTAATTGCTCATTATTCTTACAGTACTTTCATGTTTAAGGACATCTCATAATCCCCACTGTTCTTTGCAGATGATCTATAGCATAATACCAATTAGTTGAGGATTTCTAGTGACTGCATGTGTAGAAATGGGTTCCCTGCACATAGTTTGCTGCGATGGAGTGTCGTGTAATTTGTGCACCTGCAATTAGACTGAATGTAGCCCAAGCTGCTTATATCTCTAAGAACTTTGATTGTGCTCATGTATCAGGGCATCATGTATTTAGGCATCAAAATATCGTGCCCTATGCCTCCAAACAGCAGCACACAGAAAATAGCAAGTGTCTCAGAAGAGGATGGCTTGAAAATCAGATCCCTGCACTTTACAGAACTGTTGGCTGAAGTGGGGTGACAGGCCACGAAGACAATTCTATTAGATGAGCAGTTCCCTTTTGTCCATTTAAAAAAAGACCGTGTTGTACTGAACACGAAGTCCCTCCCCTTGTTCTGATGGGTTATCATTTACCTGGCAGCTTAATGGTTTTGGAGCCCACTCAGCTGCCTTGTGACACTGAATCTTTCACCTGCTGGCCATAAATGCTGAGCACGCTGATGTTCCAGTGCTCAGGTGTTCAGGTAAAGCTCCTGTCTTATCTCTTCATAACTGTGTGCAGCTTGGCTTGGATTGGAACCCGAGGTTTCTCAGAAGTGTTCAGAGCTGGCTTAGTCTGTCTTCCTGCTGCAAGGTGAGGATTTATGCTTTTCACAAGGAAAACAGAGAGAGTGGTGCTTAGCAGCTTTGGAAATCCTCCTTCATTCCAAAGCTTCTAATCGAGGAAAAAATCAGGAGTTTGGGGTATTGCAGGTTCGACTCCTTCATAGCTTTGAAGAGCCTTCAGAATCTGGCCGGTGTTAACTCGTGCCCTGCCATGTTGGAGGCTGTGGCTGTGCTTGCAGGTATTGCCTGTCCCGGAGCCCAGCAGCAGGATTTGTTACGCTCAGCTGCCTCCCCACACCTTGCTGTGTCTGGGCAGTGCTGCTGGCACTCAGACTTGACATCCTGAGAGCAAACCGAGAGTCCTCCTGTCTTAGAATACTGAGTGTGATGGGACCATTATGTATTATTGCTGCTTTTATTTCACGCCTATAAATCTTCAGAAAAAATATAATCCCTTTCTTCCTCAAAAAGAGACGAATGAAAAGAATTGAAGGTTTTAAACAATGTGTACAGGTGTGTCACTTTCCAGTCGCATGGACTTCTATCTCCATAACTGGGCAACTTTCACTGCTCTCTGCCCTGAATTCAGAACTATAATGAGAGACATTCTAAGGTGGTTTATTTTCTTTTTTCAGTATTTCTGGCTTCTTGTACTCTCACGGGGTTTGGTTGGCATTGGTGAAGCAAGTTACTCAACTATAGCTCCAACCATCATAGGAGACCTTTTCAACAAAAACACCAGGACCCTTATGCTGTCTGTTTTCTATTTTGCAATTCCTCTTGGCAGGTAAGTGACACAAGGCTTTTTTTCATCCGTTTTTGATTTAAAGTTAGCTCACACAAATCTTCTGTTGCCAGAGATGATGGTAATTCTGTCTTTGGTTGGAATGGTTTAGACAGGAAAATATTGTCAGCCATGACTACTTAGTTGCATTTGATTCCTTTTCTATCCTTGTTACTTATTCTTGTGTGAAATAAGTGGGAAGTACTGTTTTTTACAGCAATTAGGGGAAAATATTTTAGCTGACGTTCCTGGAACATTATTAAACTAAGCTATCAATTTGAATAAAACCATATTTGTTCTGAATTGTTGCTTCAGTTCATCTGAGTTCAAGGTCTCCGTTAGTCAGTGTCGTTCAGGTTGCTGTGAAATCAAGATCTCATGAGACACAGGACTATGTTGTCAAAAGTGAGCAAATGGATTCCTGCTTCTCTCTGAAGATCTGCATATCTGTGATTTCAAGAGGAGTGTGCTTCATTAACACAACCTATTTTAGTTTAAGCTCAAATGCTGCATAGCCTCAAATTTTGCCAGTCTGAGTTTGCAAAGTGTGACTAAGCCAGTCTTGCTAGTTGTAATAGCGGTGGCCAGTCAGTTTTAGTGCTGTTACCACTGACACAGCAAAAAGAGAAATTCTTAAATCTAGTACAGACAAGGCTGAAAAGAGAAAATGTAGTGATTGTTCACACTTCTGTGCAAGCAGCGGAGCACAGCCAAGACAAAGATGCCTGGTGGAGCTGCAGACAAGCTTAGATTTGAAGTAATTATTTCTTGGCGCTTTCTTTCAATTGACTTTCCTTATCAGCCCAATGCGGTGTCTTATTGTTGGGACAGGAGGGATTCTGTGACTTTTATTTATTTGTTAAAGAACGGCCTGCTATCGTGAGGTTTGGAGGCAGAGTGGTTTCACACAGTTTGCAGCTCGATTCCCAGAGGTGAACAGCTTCCTGTGCAGAAGTGGCATCAAGTGCTCATTTCCAGTAGGGAAAACCTGGGCAACGGTTTAATCCCATCAGTTCAGGGAACAATTTATTTAGGGTGGTGCATTTACAAGTCAGGGCAATTAGTCTTGCAATAAAACTCACAAACATCCTTTTGTTCTTGCGGAAAAAGAGATAGCCAAGACATAAACTGATGAAAAGAATATTTTCCCAAGCAGGGAAATACCAGGGGTGCCAAATATTTACATTGAGAATTCAGTGAGCTCTGGCTAGCAAGAAGTGACAAATATTCATCTGTTAAGCACCAAATATCGAATGGAGGCTGGGATCCATGGTTTGATTTCTGTAAATGGTTTGGTTTCTGTAAGTAGCAGTTTTGGACACAGTATAGATGGCAACTTGCAAAACTTCACAGACTGTTCAGTAAAGGCATGTGATTGCTGACATCTGCCTTTTGGTAGCCCTAGAAACTTTTAGCCAAGGCAGTACAGCAACAGATGCAGCAGTTTTGAAAGAATGATATCCATTTTTGTTCCATTGACTTTTAGAGAAACTTGGTTTCATTCTCCTCTACCCAGTCTCTTATGAGCCACCTTCTGTTACCACAGCATCACTCTTAGCATGGAGCTAAAGGTTCTCTTGCTCCTTTATCTTCAGACTGATCTGATTTTCTCTCATCTGACTGTCTTGCATATTCCTCTTAGTTTTCTTATAGGTGTATAAAAAATGCTAACTTCATGGGCAGTTTGCACCAAGTACTATTAAATGACAAGAAAAAAATTTTGTGTTAGAATATGATGTGTCCTTGAAAGGCACTTCTTAACTGAAAGCCTGAATGTAAAATTATAAGTATTCGTATTAGTGCACAGAAAGGAATGATGTACAAATTGAATTATGAAATAAATTCTTTTTGAGCCTTTTTGAGGGGATTGAAAGGTCAGTTATGAACTTGAGATCAGTGCCCAAATTTCCATGAGATTTCAGATTTTTCCGACCGAGGTGCTGAGAAGAGTTATATTCCCTCTGTCCCTTCCTGCAGCAGCAGAGAGACTAGCAAACGCAATTGGTTGTGACTGTTTTTATCTTTGTTTAAGAACATCCATGACTGTGGTGCTCCTTTACAACTCTGACCAACTCTTTTCTGTGTATTACTTGCAGTGGCTTGGGATACATCACTGGATCAAGTGTGAAGCAGGTTGCTGGAGACTGGCACTGGGCGTTGCGGGTAAGCCAGTCTCTTGGCATGGCATTTGTGTGTGGATATTCCTTGTTAAACTCATGATCTGGAGCAGCCACAAGAAAAAATGCTACCTGGGATTTTGTTTTTTCAAAATCCTTTAGCTCTTCGTTGATCAAAATAGCTTGAAATTCAAGATGTTCCCAGAAATGCAACAACTTTTATTTTTGCTTTTAAAACCATTTTCATTCTTCTTCCTCAGTAAAATTATAGATTGCCAGCACTCTGAATCAACATTCAATAAGCACTACCCTGGCCTTGGGGAACCTTTGTCCAAATTCATAGAGAGATTTATTAAGTCTTACATATCAATTTTGATAATATCTTAATAACAGTTGTATCAATTAATCAGGGTTAGGGAGAGAAGAGTTCTATCACGCATGTCCTCAACCTTTTATTAGTTATGCTAAAGGATGGGAGCTTACATCTGTAGATATTAAGTGCATAGCAGAGGTATTTTCTAGGCATGTGAGACAGGTCTGTGTTTTTGGCTCATTGTACTTGTTTTTCTCCCCGCCTGGGAGCAAGAATTTTCCAATCACTCTATTATTAATCAACCATGATTTCTTGATGAGGATGGGGAGATGAGGCATTGGCCTTAAATCAACTCCACAGTCTTTCTGTCCACTGCTGTCAAGAAACTCTGAGAATGGCTTCCTGCTTTGAGGAAAAAACACTTTGTTCCAGTTTCCGCCTGTTTTTCTGCCCCGAGACAGTCAGCTTCCTTCTATTTTAACCTCTTGGGACCTTGATAAATGTGTTGAAAAGATAATACACTCCTATCACATACTCCAAACAGATCCTGCACACAAAGATGTCTTGAAAGAGCTGACAGGAAGTGGCCCAGCAAAACTGTTCTCTGACCTTTGTCAGTTTGGGTGGCACGTGCCCCAGTGGGTTGCATTCTCTGACTTCGGCACTTCATGAAGATGATGAATCTCATGAATCTCAGGCTGATAGCGTTTATAACAGCAGGTGATGAAATAAATGTGTTCCCATCTCAAGCAAATGTTACTTTCTGTGACACGGTCCATTGCCTCTCAAGCAAGGGTAAGCAAAGCCAGGAAAGCCACTGTGAACCGTTCATCTGCACCGAGGAGAGTGGGGAGTAGTTTCCAACTGTGAACCTGAACTGAAAAAAAAACTAGGTTTGATAGCCTAAAACTTCAGACCAAGAGAGTGCCTGCCTCATTCAATAGCAGAAATGCTTGAAAGTTAAAATAAACTTTTGAGTGAAGGGTCAGCACAAGGAAAGAGAATCTCCAAAATCCCTCATTCTGGTCAGTGGATGTTGATGAAATTGCACTGTTGGACCATTTTGCATCTGTCAGTAAAACTGAAATGTTTCGTTTATGCAAAGAAGTCATCAGTAGTGTCCTTCTCTTCAGTAGATGTCTCCATAGTTAGTCTGCAAGGCTGTACCCTTATGGGGTCATGATTTCCACGATAAATGGCACATGGATGCATGATTCCCTGAGTGTGCAAAATCGTGGGAACCTATAAGACAAGCTGCACACATCCATGGTGGTTGCTTGGGATAGGAGTGCATAGTTCTTTTAGTCAAACTACACAAGAAAGCTTCCTGACATCAGCATAAAACAATCCCTGTCCCTTTGGCAATCATTGTACTCTTGCACGATGTAGTAAATTCCTCAAAGCAGTGCTTTCCTCTGTGATGTCCTGTGGCCTCCAAGTCTGAGGGAGATAAGGAATGATCAGTGTATCAGCGAGCTGGAGAAGGACACTAAGGCAAATGACAGCTTTGTCTCTGGATCTAGCTGTAATGTCAGTGTTTTACTGGAGCTTTACTGAGTACTGATGAATATTGTCTTGTCAGAGGAGTGAGCCTTCAGATAAAAATCCTGACTTTCCATCAGGATGACTTTTGTCTTCCGCTGGCTCCCCTGGAAGAGCTTCCCTGGTTTTGTCTTCTTTAGATATATAATATCACTCTATATGTAAAGACCATTCTCAGGTCATTACTGGAAGCATAGTTTTTGGAACAGGAACTTTATTTTGAAAGTGACGTGTATGGAGGAGATGACAGCTCAGTGAAAATGCATGTTTCTGTTTTTCCAACAAATTGTCAATTTCAAAACAAGAATCGCATTCATTGTAAAACATGGGAAATGTTTGCATTTTTTTTCAGCGATTGAGAGAAAGGATTGGAAACTAGGAAATCTAACCCTTGAACGTGTCATTTTCCTAACCTCCAGCTTGAATTTTCAATGATTCTTAGTCTGCTGCTCATTGAGGAAGTCACTGAAAGTTGCCTGATAATGTGAAACCATTGCAGGGCGGAGGAACATGGTAAGGGATGCATGTCAAGCAAGGATTTTCACAGGCGACAGCCTTCCCACAACCAGCAATCTTTCACTTGGCCTTATCGACCTGAAAAGGCTTCTACGTCCTCCCAGAAATTAGTTGGTCTCTTAGTCTACCAGGTTTCCAAAGAGTTAAACATAATTCAGAATGTTGGTACATTAATAACACGGATAAATACCTTAATCAGGGTATTCTCAAAGCTTCATGCTTGCAGAGTGAGATAAGAGAGTCCAGGGAATGACAGGGAGAAAGGAAGGGAACAGATGCCTCAGTGTGCTTGCAGATTCACATTGGCTGTAAAGAACTGGGATGCTGAAACGAAATGAATGTAATCTGTTTCTTACTGACGAGTCCAAGCAAACACTGCTGGCTTCCTGTGCTAATTCCCTGTTTCTTTCATGCAGGTATCTCCACTCTTAGGAATGATAACAGGCACACTCATCTTGATATTTGTACCTGCTGCTAAAAGAGGAAATGTTGAACAACTTGGGGGACAGCTGAAGGCTCGGACCTCATGGCTAAGAGACATGAAGGCACTGATTAGAAAGTAAGAGCACTCTGCTAAAGCATGCTTTGCCTCTGCTGCTTAATCTAAACATCACATGGCCTGTACTTGTTAACATTGTGAGCCTGGAAAATGGCAACATGCAAGAAATTGCAGAAAATTTGATCTGCTGGCCTGGAATGAAAAATTGCAGGTACATTTTCACTAGATGTTGACTGTGCTGACAAAGGTGGATTCCAGCTTTTGCTGTAACATTTCTAAGATTTGCATTTTAGAGTCTGCTTTGTTTGGCTCATCTTTCAGTCTGATTAAGGCTTTTGAAGTATAGAAATTGCTGTGTTCCTGTAGCAATTGTAGTGCCACTGTTGTTCAAATGTTTAGTTTCTTTTTATTTTTTGAAAGATGTACTCTGCCATGTGAGAAAAAGAAAGTTCAATGCCAAAACAGCTTAAGGGGAGAAAATACAGAAAAGCTTCTACTAAAGTTTAGTACAAGTTTAAATATATGTGTTTACATAACCAAAAGTGAGTGAATAGATGTGCACACAATGTGGTTGGGTGCTTGTACATTTGCATAGAAGATAACACGCTTATGAGCTTTTAAGTAGCTGCCCTTGCTTACACAATGCTTGCTGTTAATGTGCAAATACTTGCATGCATGAATTCAGAGTTACATTGGAATTCTGATGGGAAACGTGGTGTCTTTCATTTTTCTTAGAACTGCTGGCTATGATATCTTCCTGGTATTTTCAGACAGTATAAAAGGAGTATGAAAAGTGATAATGGATAATTTATCAGTATTTCTATATTACTTATTTTGGTGATTTATCCAAGTAGTAATCTTAAGTAACATCAATGGGGAGGGAGCGATGGAGCTTATAGTTCCAGCAGACAGTGATGTGGTGATGGCCCTGTATTTCACACATCATGTCTCAGTGATTAAGTACTGATCTTCTCCTGAAAGGGTCCCCTGAAAAGTGGTCCCTTGGAAGCACCCCTGGAGAGTTAAGCACATTATTATCACTAGAACATGATGTATGAATTCCCCGCCTCTTACTCACCATTCCTTCATACCTCCTGTTAACTCTGTACCTTGGCAGAGGAGGCTAACAACAGGAGAGCTCTGTGTTTTGTCACAGCGGCACACTTTCCTTGCTCTTTCAGTTTTCCTTCCAAACCTTCTCTTGGTTTTGCCTCATGTCTCCACAGCCGCAGCTACGTGTTCTCATCATTGGCCACCTCAGCTGTTTCCTTTGCCACCGGGGCCCTTGGCATGTGGATCCCCCTCTACCTTCACAGAGCACAAGTTGTGCAGAAGACAGCAGAGACTTGCAGCTCGCAGCCCTGTGGCACCAAAGATAGGTGAGATTAATACACACTGCTTTGAAAAGGAAGGAGAGAGAGTGGGGGCTAATTTACCAGAGGAAATAGGCAATTCTCATGGAGTCAAGTTACTAGAATGTCTGTAATTTCCTGTAGATCCTTGCAACAATGATAGGAAATGCTGGGTTTGTAAACTGAGTTTTATTTCTCTCCTTTTCTTCATTACATGAAGTCATGAAGTCGAACCAAAGGAGAAGTGATGACCTCAGCTCAGTCTTCGTTCCCAGACTACAGTACAGAAGTAGAAAAGACAGCTGTTTTTGGCTTAGGAAATGGATGGAGGACTGAGAGGATGAGGTCTCTTAAAACCCACACTGCTTTCTGGAATAGCAGTGGAATCAGTTGGCAGGTTGGGGTAGCCAGAGTGGTGGCTATAATTCAAGACTTGGGCTGGTTCCCCTAAAGGCTGCAGGAACTGCCCCTAAAGGTTTTTCTTTCAGTCGGAGGGAGGACCTCACTGTGTTTCATTGCTCTGTATACTACTGAGTATGCTGAGTTTTGCTGAAGTGTGATGCAAAGATCTGGGACGCTTTGGTCTGGATTGCTTGATGTTACCCAGTGGTGTTTTTTCCCAGTTATATAACATAGCTTACAGTGCATAAGCTGTGAAAAGTAATTCATTGTTTTGTGCCTTACCATGGTGGCAGAAAACATAAAACCCTAAAAAAGTTTTTACCCTAGTGAATAAAAGATATGAAAAATTGCCTTTTGCCAGCTCTTTTAAGATTGGGAGGGAAAAATAATGTTAGGAAAACCTTGCTCTAGCTGACACAATCCCATCACAAGTGAACTGCTTAATGGCTTGAAGTAGCATTGAGTAGTGCACCCAGCAGGCAGCCTTACTGTGTTCTGAAAAATGCAGCGAGCAGAAAATCCAGCTCCAGTCAGACTGCCCATCTGCTGTTTACAAAGACAAGTTTTCCACTCCTTGATGACACCTATATTTTGAGCTACCCTGGAGCTACTTCAATGTAATTGCCAAAGACTCTGTTATCTGAGTCATACACATACAATACAGCGAATCCTTGACAGCTACTGCTCTTAAATCTAAATAAACACATTTTGTGTGTGTATTATAACGGCAGAATAATCTAATCAGCCTTCTTTGAAGTAGACTGAAAGATGTTAGAAAGTTGAAATATGTTGAAAGTCACTGTTATTTGGTTTCTTGTTAGGATTCTTTTCCCTTCAGCTTCCTAGTGTCTCTCTGTCCATGCTTTCCCTTACATGATCAGCGTTCAGGTTATTGCTCCATTTTGATTGTTCATAATTAGCAGTACAAAGTACTAAATAGGGAACTATAAAGAAAGAAGCAGTATGAGCCCTATGCATCTGTGTGTTGATCAATGCCTTTATACAAGGCTGAATTTCATCTGCTGTTTCCTGTAATTTCAAGAAAGGTGCTGAAATCACAAGCCCTCGGGAGGTAGCTCATTTATTTTATCTTAAACTTGCAAAAACAATGTTTTCCATCAGTCAGCTTACCCTAGTAACGTGTTCATAGATCATGTCCATTGGGGGGAAAAATATTTAGAAAAATAACCAACTTTTTGTTTTGTTTTGTTTAATAGCTTGATCTTCGGAGCAATCACGTGCTTCACTGGTTTCCTGGGTGTAATCACAGGGGCTGGGGCAACCAAATGGTGTCGGTTAAAAACCCAGCGGGCTGATCCTCTTGTCTGTGCTGTTGGCATGCTAGGATCAGCCATCTTCATCTGTCTGATCTTTGTCGCTGCCAAGAGCAGCATTGTGGGAGCCTATGTAAGTATAATCCTTTGCATATGCCAGTCTCACTCTTATTCTCTCAACCAAACACCTTGGGTTGTGTGCATTGCTCCCTGCTGGAGTATGGAGAAGCCGATCTTGTTTTTCCCAATCTCAGTGTTTGTCATTTTGCCCCTTGGCATATTGGTGCTGTCTGGGATGTGCTTGGGAGGAAAATGGGATTTCATTCCATTCACTAACTGTCATCAGAATTGAGAACGGGGCATTTAACTCCTGCATGGAAACCCACTGCTCTGTGCCTTTGGGCTCTTCTAGCTGTACCTCCATCCATACCTCAGTTGTTCTCGCCTAATATCTTAGTACAGAGAAATTGGCAGCTTCCCTTACAATTAAGGTTATTGTAGCAGCAGTGATATCAAATCATAATTATGATATGACTTGTCTGTGGGCAAGCTTCTGGCTACCTGTAAGTACTGTTAATTTCCATAGCTAAATAGCTTGCTACAGACCAACAGTAATTGCCATGTTAGGTCGATTTGTTGTTATCTGTATTAGCTATTAGCTATATAGCTGATATGTATTAGCTGTATTAGCTATAGCACCTGAAACTCCTCATCACAGCCTAGGAGTACACAATACTTGCTGCTGCACAATTGCAGATTAAAAAAATGTTCACTCCTGGGGTATTTATAAATCTTAGTATATAAAAAGACATCAGATTGATTCAGAGGAATGTTTTCAAGGGAAAAGGAAAAATTCAGGATAATGTATAATAATACAAAGGGTAGAGATCTAATCTCGAGTTCTCTTCCAGTGTTGCAGAGAGAAGCTTTGTAAGTTTTGAAGGGACAGCCTGTGATGATTTGAGAAGTGGGATAATTTCTGAAAGTCCACATCTGGTTTCCACACAGCAGTGCACACTTCACCGAGCAATGAGAAGTCATTTACAGTCAAACATACCACCTACTGCAATGCCTTGCCTCTCTGTTTCTAGCTTAGTGCAGCCTTAGTTATTTTCCAGGTATTTCAGTAGTTGCCATAAAAGAGAACACGAGGAAAGAATGGAAATTTAAAAACATTACGGCGGAACCAAGAATGCTTACTCTGGCTATTTAGAAAGTGTCAGAAGGAGATTCTGGACCTGTAGCTCATGACTAGAACTCACCTTTGATCCAGTGATTAGCAGAAAAATGACCATCACAGACAATCTGTAAAAGGCTGTTTCTGGCTGGCAAAACACGAGCCAGCCCTCCTTTCATTCTCAGCTGTCTCCAAAAGAAGAGATCTGTCAGAACCCTCAGCCTGCCCCTCCTCTCTGCCTCTCTGTAGTCAGACCTGTGATTTTCTCCTTTGTCAGACCTGATGACAGACATGTTCATTTGTGGTGTTTAGTCTCTTTATGTAGAAAGTCCTCCCTTTTTTAAGCTGGAAATACTGTTTTCAAAAAGCATGCAATGAAAGGTGGTTATTGGTCTCATTTTTTATTATTATTTTTTTATCTCTAGACAGCAGCTTTTCAGCTTCCATATTTCAATGTGGAAATATTCTGCATCCTGTAAAGATATAAATGTAGATGGTATTATTTAGCCAGTCTTAGAAACAATTTATTTTATGATGCATGAGCAGTAAATCTAATAAAGAGTCAATGATGTGCAGAGGAAGTAATGCCTCCATGTAGCGGGGTCATAAAGAATATAAGCCTATTTGCTGATGCTGTTAGGCTGATACACACATTTGTTGCAGGTAACACTGCCTCTCTGCAGCCCTTAATATTCTTTCTCTGCTGCTGGAAAAGCAATGCATGTATAACAGTTAAGAGAGTCTAGTTAAAGCACCAAATGGGGAATCGAGATCCAAACTCTCTTTATAAATTCTGCATGTGACACTGGACATGTTATTTGACTTTATTTTGCCTTTTCATTCCATTCTTCACCCCACTGAGAGAACAGGTCTGTTTTGGAGCTACCAATGTCTTGTAACACAAGGTGTTGCCATGGCTGTGCTATATATCAGCTGAAGTGACTTTTCAAGGCAAGATTCAAACATGAGCCCTTGTTTTTCCTTGCTATGCAATGCTGCTATGATCTTACAGACTTCAAGAGTGTTTAATTACCTTTTATTTCACTTGGAGACCTGTTCTGCAGAGTTGTGTGGTATAGCAGTGTCTCTACAGTACTGTGGAGCAGGTTGTCAGAGTTCTTAACTCATCCAATCTTTTCATTTAGTCTAGTAAACTATTGGCAGTAGTAGAGTGCTTGGAATAAAAAAGCATTCTGTGTCATGCCCAGACTTTCGTATTTCTGTCTTTTACTGTCTTTGCTGTATAGTCCAATCAGTTCTTACTTGCAGTGTGTGTATTTATGTTTTGTATTCCAGCTCCTTTAAACACCTATTTGTAAATTTTTAGGTCTCTCTCTGAAATATATACCCTTTGAAATGTTGATTTTCAAACCTCTCTCTTGAAAGCCATTAGCTGTGGGCATCACTGTATCACACTATCAGACATTTCAGTGGTCTTTTTTACCGTTTTAAATCTCCAAGTGATTAGAGAGGGACCTTTTGCCTTTTTCTTTTCAAAGTTTTGACTTTGTTCCAACTTTCTGTTGTACCTCGATTTCAGTATCTTTCTCAATTCCACAAAGTCATTTCACAATCTGTCAGAGACATCTGCCAAGCAAGTCCTTGCAGTAGAGCTTTTAGAGCACCAACTCCAGGGAGCTTTCTCTTGACGTGGTGACTTATCTTCTTCCTACACATCTGTATTGCCCAGTGATGAGATGGAGTTAGGCTTGCTTCAAATTCAAAAGAACATGAGGACTCCCTACCCACCGTTTCGAGGAGAAATTCAAATAGTGAAGGTTGAGACAGATGCATGCTTTGCAAATAGCCATGCAGGGAGTTTCTAACCTACTTCAGTCTTGCTGCAAGAACTGCTGGTGTGACGGCTGTGAAACCTACTTTACTTATCATTTTTTGAAATCAGGATTTGCTAACTCTGATCACTTAAACAGGAAGAGTCCAGGGAGACTGAGCTTACATTGGCTCATCAAAGGTGAACAACTGCACACCGAATGGAGATGGTGAGAGATGATACAACAGAGCTGGACTCAGAAAAGGATGTATCTCTCAAGCCGATATCTCAGTGGTAAAAGAGAATTCTAAAAATGTGTGAGGAATTGATTTCAGGTGACAATTTCAGGAGTTACTGATCTGTTGGAGGCTGTCCTATTTGCAGTAAGCATTCCTAAAGCCTTTCTGCGGCAGAAATGCCACATGTCCCTCTTTGCAGTGGGTGAACTCATTTTTACAAATCCTCATTAGCAGCTGGCTTTTTTTTAGTGTCACTATCTTTTCTCCTAATTTTTGATCTTCATTTTGTTCCTCTTTTTCTTTAATCCACATGAGATGTGTTTCACAGAAACATGTTGGGTGAAATACACAGTGAATAATTCAAGTCCGTTGCTCTGAAATTTATAATATTTCAGTGATTCATAAGACTCATGCTGAATTGCCACAGAAGGGAGAAGTTTTACTTGCTGTGTGTAACTGTGTGTGTGTGTAACTCATATCATCTGAAGGCAAGCAGCTGCCTGTTTCCAATATTTTTTGAACAGGCAGGGCACATTAATGCCAAAATCGAGATAGCATCTTTCTCAAGCTCAATTAAATCTACCCAGTTGCAGAATTCCAGCAACAGTAGCTGCAGAGCTGCGAGAGGGCAGATTTCAGTGCAGGTCAAGAGAGCTCACCTGGGGAACTCTTATGCCCTTCCTACATAGCACATAGCATCAGTTTCTCTCAGTACCTCATTCGTGGGATCTGTCTTCCTTAGCTCAGCAGCTGTAATTCCCAGTGAGAACCTTTCAGAGCACACCAGTGGATAGTGGGAAAATGGAAAGAGAAGATTTCCTAGCTCACCAGCTGGACTGTAAAGACCGGCTCCGGCACCATCACAGAGGAAACAGATCCAGTCACAGTAAGGAATAGGAAGGGGGGATGTATGGGAAACAAAAATAATTTTAGACACAAATAGAGGAAGCTTTCTGTAGGTGAATGCGTAAGTCGTTCTATATAAAGCAAACTGTTCCTGGCAGTGACATGAGGGATGGAGGGGTTTAGGTTTAGGTAATCTTAACTGGTGGGGGGGAAAAGCAATTGCTGAAGTCACAGCGAAACCATATCTTCCTCTTCCCAGCCCAGACTGCTCCTGTGCAAGCTACAGGGTGCAAGCAACTGGGAGTGGCAGAGCCTGGCACAGCTCACAGGACAGCCACAAAATGTACACATGAACGCTTTCATCAGAGCTGAGCTGTGTATTTTGTTCCGGTGATGTGTCGTACCGTACTCAACAGAACATAAGGCTGTTAAAAGGGAAGCTTTCAGTACCCCGAATCCAAGCCTCCATCGCTATTAATCTCCAGTTCCCCGTAGGGGTTCCAGGTGTAATGTTTTCTCTCTGGATGCTCCCCCTTCGTCCCTCTCCTCCAAAAAAGTGCCTCTGTGTGTTAGCTGGGCAGAAACAGCCTTTGGAGGAGATGTGGTAAAGGGTTTTGATTGCTTTCTTCATGGGTAGGGTCAAGGGAGCTGGTTCTAGTGAGTCTGATTGTTTAAGCTGTGTTTCATCTGTGTGTTCTCCTCTTTAGAATATATAAAGGATGGAAGCATTGTGTGTGGAAGATTTTACTTCCTTGTCTGTTGAACTTAATTTTCTTTGTTAAATTGTTACAGCATAAAAGCAAAGGATTAAATTTGTTTATCCTGATGATGATCACTTCCAGTTCTTCACCTTCTGTAACTGTCTGCAGAACCATTTAATGAACTGCATCAGAGAACTGATTTTTTCAGAGCCCCTCTTCTTCTATCTCCCCTATGGCAAATAGATTCTTTACCCCATCTGTTTCTGATCTCAATCCCTGCTTGGCTTTGTTGTGCACAACAAAAAAGGCTGTTTGAGGTTGGCATTAAGTGAGGAAGGAGTGCTGGAGGTGCACAGGGTATGTGATGATTGTTGATACCACACCAGCTCAAAAGAAGCTCTCATCTCACTATCTGCTTGGGACTTTCAGTGTAGCTTGTTGAGTCTCTCCATAGCATCAAGAATTGCAGTTCACTGTGAGACACTGATGTTGCAATCTCCATACCTAAGCCTTTTCTTGTGTATGCACAGGTATTACTAACATAAAGCTTAAGTTGTTAGAGTGGCTAGTCTTAAAAAACTAGACTCAAAAAGGGCAACAATATGCAAGCAGGAGAAGGTGGGAACCCTGCAGTCAGTGGGCAGAGAATCTCATTTAGTTTGCTACAGAGTTTAACACGTAGCTTGATGAAAATGACTGTTTTGAGCAGCTTTGGATTTTTTGTCTTTTCTAACTGATTTTTTGAATGATTTAAATGTGGAAGTCCAGGGCTGTCTTTTATGGTTGGCTTGTCATGTTCATCTGTTACCAGAGGTATCTGTCTTTTATTTATCTGCTTTAGAGATCATAAACAGTTGACACTAATGAAGTTACAGGCCAGCCCTCTCAGGGCTCAAATAAACATCTGTAGATTTCTAACACTCAGGATAAACCACAACAGTAACCAGAAGTGCATCATGTACAGAAGAATCCTTTGAGTAGGTTTCAGACAAATAAGCAACAAAGGGAAGTTTGTGACAGGTTATTTTTCCCTTAAATGTCAAGTGAATAAATCTTCTCCTTTTTGTGTGTTTTGTTACAACAGATTTGCATTTTTATCGGAGAAACTCTTCTGTTTTCAAACTGGGCTATCACAGCAGACATACTAATGGTGAGTGCACTTTGGAATAGCATCCTTCTGTGAGCCAGAGCAGTTTGTCACCTTGCAAGAACAACCTGTAGTTTAAATCTTCTTCCAAATGCCTGGTCCATAGTTCAGCCTATTCTGTTTTGCTTTGTTTGTTTATTTGCTGAAAAGTAAATGGAGAGAAAGATAAAGCACTTCTTCTTTTGCTTTGTTCTGAGCACCAAGGTGAGGCATTGTCCAAAAAAGGACCCTAATTACTGTGTACAGCTCGTCTCCCCAAATTGTAAGAATTTGCACAAAACTGTTCATTAAAGAATTCAGCCAGCATTTCCTAATAGTCAGCACACTAGTGAATTTTGTTATCAATAATCCAGCTTTGTTCTGTAATAGGAAATCCTTCCCTCCCTCCCTCCTCTGACCACAAAGACAGCCAGCTACCTCTCTCTGTGGCTCAGTTCCAGCAAACCTACCATTCAACACATACACAATAGAAAACCACCTCTGGGAGAGGAGAGGAAAAGAAAGTATAAAGAGCTTTTGGAAGATTTCCACCTTGTTCTATAGGAAACTGGGATTTTTCACCTCATATCCTTCATTTTCCATTCTCTCTCCACTACAGAGCTTTTAAAATCTTTCAGGTCAGCAAGTAGATGTTCATACGAAATGGTCTGGAAGATTGTTAGAGAGCCTTGCACGTTTCTTGATGTTTCCATGAGGGACGTACAGAGCCTTTCAGATATGTTGTACTTTGAAATTCTATTGTGAGGGAAGTTCCTTGTTGCTTATTGTATGAAAAAGAAAGAAACTAGGTCACAGAACCATTACAGGACTTGCCCAAGGTCTTTTGGCAGGTTGTTGACGAAGCTAGAAACACAATCTGTCTGGCATCAATAGAAAAATCCCTTGACTTGTGTTTGTTGCTTATGCAAACATTAACAAGAAAACAATCTGGCTCAGAATTTCTAGATGTAAAAGATACTGGTGTTGATATACTGATTCAGCAGAGCTTCAAGCAATATGATTTAAGTTCAAGGTTGTGTTTATGTTTTAAGGTGGCTCTGTAGTTGCCATGTTTTTGTAGTTGGATGAACTTTCAGTCTGTAACTCCCTTGTTCAGAGAACATTTTATGAGGTAGGGCCATATGGTTAATGCCACATCTCTTAAGTGTGAGTGAGGCACAGAGAAGCAAAGCTTACCAGTGTACTTCAGTATTGTTAGATGGCTTTGAATTGCTCAGGTTTGTACCTCCTACCAATTTAGCTTTAGCATACTAGAGCTTGTCATAGGCTGTTTATTCTGTGCTTGCGTGAGTTTTGCAGCTTGTCCTGATTTCAAGGCTGATGCTGCCATTCATTCAGAGGTTCCTTAACGTTTAGACAGATGTGCAGTCTACGGACAGCTGCAGTGAGGAAGTTGTACTACAATACTTGTAGTTGCTCACCACTGCCTCCTGTCACATCCTGTCTTCTGCTGTGATGTTCCAAGGAGCTCCCAAATCTCCCCAGTCAAAACGAGCAGATCTTTTATATCCTCTGTAGCAGTGGCTGACACAGGTGAAGGCCTGGCCAGGGAACATCTGCCATCCTCCAGCAGTGGCTGTAACAGCAGCTCAGGCTGAGAGAGAACTGAAACTTCATCTTGCTATCTCAAGTTAAGCCCAAAAGACACTTTCATCCCAAACACTTCTTTATATCAAATGTGCTAAGGATGCTATTGTTATTCCACATTAATTACTGAGCTTTTCCATGTTGATTTCAATGTGCCTTCAGTAGGCTGTCACTTTTTAATAACTGTTACAGGGTTTGCCATCTGTTTTGTATGAGCAGCACTGAATAGTGAACTGCATTTTGCAGAGATGCATTTGTGGTTATATATATTGCTCTAGTGCACACAAGCAAACAACAAACAACTATAGAAATTACTGGAAGTAATTGGAAAAATATTCTTATTTGCAATTCTGCAAACACAGGAAATAAGCTAAAAGCATGTTAAAATTCAGATGTTGATAACTGATCCGAGCTCATAAGCTAGCTATTTTCTTGCCTTTTCAGACAAATGAACTGAGTGTCATGTATAATGCCCAGCTTAATACATTATCAGCATGAGTGGAATGGTAAAAGTGCAAATAAATAAATATACAAATAAATGTAAACATCCACTTAGATCAGTGCAAGCCTGCAAACAGATGGCCTGAAGTACATTCATATTACACAAGGGGTTTGAGAACATTTTTAGTCGGGCAACAGGTGAGAGCCAGGGCTAGAGCCTTGTTTGACAGCTCTTTAAGAAGCCTTAGCCAGAGAAATGTGTGGATATACTTCAGCGAGATACACTTTAAGTGTTTTGCAAATTAATTTCTACTGATTACTGTTTATTTGGCATAATCAGATGGGTATTTCTTCTTGCCCAAGGCTGGTAAGGAATATTAAAGCATTATTAGTGTAAGCCTAACAACACTTTTATCATATACAAAAATATGATCCTATTTTCATGGATAAAAAGCTTTCAATTCTGGCTGATTTCAGTGACAGCAGGCTTATGCCAAAAGTGAGCTTTTAAAAACTTCATCCCAAATGATTGTCACGGTTCTCCAAAGATTTGCACATCTCATGACTGCTTATGAACCCTATCTGGCAAGTTGGTAAGCAGCTTCAGAGCTTTTGCAAGTTTGATTTCCTTGGCAAAAGCCAGAATATTAACTAATTATCTTCAGATTGTCAGCTCTTCATAGTTTTGTGCTTCCATTGCTCTTCTGCTCTTGGTACTGTAGCTGCCTGCATGCAGTTTCTCAAACCGACTGCAGTAAAAGGTGCAGAGCTAGGTGTGATCAACTGTCAGCACTGCAGAATGTACTGCGCCACCTGAGATTTTAAATGGCTGATTATTGTTCCAAACACAGCTTTGTACAAAACAAGCCTTATTCACCTGAGCACAGCTCTCCAAATCTCCTCCCAGCCACATGCTCAGATGGTGCAGCAGTGTAGATCTTCCTTTAGACTTGAAACAAGCAAGGGTGCTACAACCCTGCTTTTTGTTTTTGCTTTTTGTTCTGCCTAGCGTCCCTTCAGATTAAAGACAATTATTTTTATGGTATAAAAAACTGTGTATTTTTACAGCTGACAAAACAGCATTTCCAGAAGTTTTCATTGCTTCTCTCAGTGTGCTTCACACATCAGTAATCTGTGAGTGCAGTAATTTACATTTTAGGGCAGGATGAGAAATGCTTATGAGTGAAGGCACACTCCCTTTGCAGACATTGCAGCCCAGCTCTGAGCAGGACAGCAGAATTTACCTCCTTAGCACATGGCCTTCTACTGGCAAAAGAGGGGTCTCTCTCTGTCTTTCCTACTATACTTATTTCAGACCAATCAGTTCTGTTGGATTCACTACAGGAAGGGAATGTCCACAGTAAACCATGGCCTTTCTGAACCTCTATTTCTGGAAGGGAGGTTTGCTGGAGCTGCTTGGTCAGCCTTCCTGCCCACCCTGTGTGCTGCCTGCATTGGAGCTTGAAGCCAGAGATGAGCCAGGGCAATCCACAGACATCCGCCAAGTCTGCTGTGGCTCTCCCACCTCCAGTTTCTGTGGGATGCTCAAACCAGGCTGTGGATGGCTTGAATTTAAGTCTATTTTAGCATCAGTATGCCCATTTAGAACTGTAATTTACTGCTGTCTTTCTAGAACAGTAGCTTATGTTTGCCACCAACTGCTTCCCATCTGAATAAAATGCTTTTAAAGCAAGGATAGGATGGAGTACTTTTTGGAGATGTTTTAGAGATGCTGGTTTAAGTCTTATTTCCTATCCAACATCTTTTTAGAGGAGGAAGAAATACCTCTTGTCCATTTGCTTGCTGTACATTGGGGTGGAGTTTTTTGGTTGTTTTTCTTTGCTTTTTGGCATTTGAATTCTGGGCTAAATTTACTACTTTTGGCAGTTTATAAACTGCATTGATGGTTTCAGCCATCATTAACTTCCTTAACTAGGCAAAGTGAAAACTTGTTGTAAATTGTACTGCTACTTGCAAAATTATTTATACGTACTACAGATGCACATGCAGAATTGTGTATAATTGTGTGTGTGTGTCTGTTTATGTGTACAAATATATACATACACACATATGATGCTGCTGTCATTCAAACTTCTTTCTCCAGTTGGCACGAATTCGCTGCCACTTGTTTGAAATGGTAAGTTTTGAATGCATTTGTGATTTCCTTAGTCATTTTGCTAAGAAAATTGATACGATATGGAGCCATGCAAGCTTTCTTCTCCAAATCACACAGTTTCTGTGATCTACACAGCTCAAGCCTCTTGAATTAGGCAGAGCATCACTTGATTTTCTCAAATGCCTTTTTCTCAAACAACTTGCAGAATGCTTCTCCTCTGCACCTGTGTGACACGGGCCCACGTGGGAAGAGCAGTTACTCACTATTTTTATCTCCTTTTGTCTCATGGCTCCAGGTTGCACCCATTACCTGAGGTCTTTGGGGAGCTGTAATGAATTGTGTGGCTCTCCTCCCCTTTCACAGTGTGACCTTCAGTATGTTTTTGTGCCTCTAATGAAGTCTAGCCCTTATCTTCCTCTTGGGATATCTGTGAGCCTTCGAGGCTGTTTTGAGCTCTCTGATGCACAAGGAGGACAGTATCAATATCCATAGCCAGGTGGCTGCTGTGGATCTGATCATTTGCTTGTCTGTTGCACCACAGGATTTTAACAGGGTATCCATTGGATGTGTGGTGTCAGAGCACATCAGCAGCATGCATTCACGGCTTTGTCAAACCAGTAACAGAAGAACTGGCAGGTCACTGTCAAAACACGTGCGTAAGACCCTAAGCAGAGGCATTTAATCCAATTTTACTCATCATTCCTAATTGTGTGTGCTTGGTAGAAGGTGAATCATTATAAAGAGGCTTGAATCCTCTTCTGCTGTGAATTTTCTGAGTGCTGTTTCTTTCCCTTTGTTATGGTTAGCTCTTTCTACTGCAGGCAGAGCCTGCAGACCTTCTCTGAGAGGATGTGATGAGCACTGAAGCAGTGCTTCAAATTCTGTGCCCTGAGATACATCACTGTCAAGCAATTAGTTCTCCCTAACTAAGACAGCTAAGGTAAATTCATCTCCACATCTCTAGCCAGAGACATGCCAGTCCTGCAATGCCAATTTAATTAATAAATGATTTCAGGAATACATTGCAGGAATTGACTGAAGCCTCGGAAGGCAGGACTTCCGAAAAAAAGAGGCAGTCTATCAAGAGCAAGTAGAGAAGAAAAAAGGGATTGTTGAACATATATGCAAACCAGAGTCCTTTCTGGCAGGGCAGAGAGCTCTCCAAAAAGAGGAGAACAGAAGAAGACAGAACAGGATTCAGTGCTCGGAAATGGAAACAAAGCTCGCTTGGATTTCGGAACCTTGTGAATTCTTTCTTGCTTTCAGCTTTTAGATCAAGACAGCATCAATTTCTGAAGTAGGAGATGTGAACATGGTGCAGTTGTTCTTAGCCAGCTTCTTTCACAGGTTTTCTGCAGGAGACAATTATTTTGCTTCTGAATTCACATTATAAATCAAAGACCCTTCGACAGAACCAGCGTTTGTTGTTCTGTTTTCTTTCGGTTTTACTTTCTAATCTTCAATTCCCTTCTATGGTTAGGTCTCTGTTTACTGCAAGCTCTGATCCCTTAGTGGGAAATAATTAATGTTTTTTGCTGATCCTGCATAGTCAGAATGATATTGCGTGACCTGGCTGAGGGTGTAATGTCCTGTTAGAGAACTGGAGGCCAAACTATAATATCCTGGCTCTGTGAAATTTCCCTAATGTGTCTTTGTAACCTTTCGGAAGTGTAATCCCATATTTTTGAGGGGAAAAAAAAAAGCTGCCAGAGATGGAATGGGAGGTGAGGATGCATGACCTTTCATGGGAAACCAAAGGATGTGTTGATTGTGGAAAGAATACAGTATCCAAGGTTACAGCAAAGGCCTTGTTCAGAAGGCTGGAGGTGCTGAGCAGGTTATTTGCTGCAGGCATCTTTGGGGTTCTTTCTCCCCATCAGACAAGCCAAAATACAGGCAGAGGAGCAATAGCAAAGTGCCTCATGGGTGATGTATTAAAATCCTTTGGAACCTGACTTGTCAGGCAAATCAGTGCTTTCAGTGCAGTTGAAAGCAAGGAGTAAAGACCAGACAGAGCTGCCTTTCCTGGACACCTGCTGTCAGGATGGCTAGAAAGCCAAAAGGAGTAGCAGAGCAATTGAACTCTACTGGAGTTTGTTTGTTCTGTCCTGGTTGTTAATTAAGCAGTACAAGAGAACAGGCTCTTCAGTTGCATTTCCTTATGTATTTGTTTCTATTTCCTTCTGTGCAGTATGTGGTCATCCCAACACGCCGTGCAACCGCCGTGGCCTTGCAGAGTTTCACTTCGCACCTTCTGGGAGATGCTGGCAGTCCTTATCTGATTGGATTTGTAAGTGCTCACGGTGGTTTTTGGTGGTATTGTTCGTCCATGTTTAGTTTTGCTTACTAACCGTTTATCTAACATGGGAGGTTAAGTGTGCTAGGGAAGGAAGGCCTGTATTTATCAGCAGAATGGAAGTGGAGCAGTGCAGTGCAACTTTTATATCTGCTTTTGTTATCTGTGGGCTGCAGTTCAAACTGGGGAGGACTACTTTTGCACAGGAAGTGAGCTTCCAAATCTGTTCAGCCTAGGTCTCTCAGACTTAATTTAAAGGGAAATTGGTTGCTTCTGTGGTATGGACAAAGGTATCTTAGAAATCAGATTGGAATAGTTGTATTTTAGCTGTCTTTTAAGGCAAGTAGCCTCCAGGTAGCAACCTGGAGCTGTTCTGACCCACTGATACTTTAAACACATGGTGTATGATAATAAATTCATGGCAGGATGTATATGTATATGTATATGGAGGATTCTTGGTATTCCTTTCTAGTGTGCATATTTTGTTTTTAATTAGTTGCATTCTTTTCTGTTGTTGCTGCTGTTGTTGGCATTGGTTTGACTCAAGACCTCTCTTATGAGACCATTACTAATGCAGAGAGAAACAAAAGACCCTGCTCCAAAAGCTAGCAATTGGAGAACATTCCTAGCTGAAGGTGTAAGGCTTGGGAAATCTAATGAGGAAAAGAAATCTAGATATACTGGAGTAATTCCTTTCCCTTGCACCCTTCTGTTGTGTTTAATGCAATGAGTTGCAGAGAATACAGATCATCGTTTATAAAATATAGCAGCTTCCTTGTAAAGTCTTAAGTGGCACAGCTTATGTTGTGTAGAAGGTGCTACAGTTTTCCAGTGATGTAACTGGGGTCTTAGTTTCGTCACTGGGGAGAGAGCTCAGATGAGCTCTTCCAGCTCAGCACTGCTCTGTGACACAGCTGCTTGCTGCTGTGGAACTTACTTTTTATTTTTAACCACCATTTCTATTCTACTAATCCCCTGGACATTGGTGAGTGTATACAATCATATTTATTTATATTTTATATATATATGTATAATATTTACTCTTGAATGCCAGTTCTCAAAACCAATATAGTTGCTCTACAGCCCTCTGAAGCTTACACGAACGTACAAATATATATAAGGCTGAATGGATCAAAGGAATGAGAACTATCTCAAGAGAATAAATAAATACAATTTGGCTTAGTCTTTATTTACTTCAATATTCTGGGCACCCCAGGAGAAATGGTCTTATTTTAGAAAGTATTTGAAAGTCACAAGAACAAATGAATCACTGGGAGATTTGGCTCTGTGCAGGCAGACAGCACGGGAGAATGGCAGGAAGAAAATGGAGTGGGGAGGGCTGCATGCATGGGGACCAGCGGTGGTGAGGGGCAGGGTCTGAGATGCACTGAGGCTCCCAGGTGACTGCTGCGTATTTGTTCTTTTGATTGCATAAAGGACACATCCAGGAGGACCCGGAATGATTGCAATTAATCTTGAAAGTTGCCTAGGGCTCTTTGGTGTCACAGATAGAAAAGGACTTTGGTTGTAGAAATAACGCGTCTTGCCCTTCTGGTATTCAGAGAGCAAGCAAGTTATGATTTACTTAAGGATGCCTGCTGAAATTTGCTAAAACCCAATTTAATGGCTGCCTTGGGCTGCCTTTAGATTTGGAAAATATTAATTATGATTTTGAATTACTCTTTTCTAAAGCTGTAGTTATTGGGCAGTTCTTGCCTGGAAGGAGGGTATCCAAGTGCAATCTTTCTTGGCAGGGAGCAGGAGGGAAGGGCTCATGTCACAGAAGGCACCAGCATCCATTTCTGTGGCTCTGGAAGGCTTGGCTGACTCATGCTCCCTGTGCTACTTGGACTGAAAGGTCAGCTGGAGCTTTCCAATGCCACAGAAAATTCAGCCTCCTCATCACTCAGGGTGCATCTGAGATCCTCAAGGTCTGCCATTTCTTCTGACTGATTACAAATCCCACTTGCAGCTCTCTCACTCAGCAAGCAGTGTTTGGATCCAGATACGGCTGAAATCTTACAGAGTACTGGGGAGTTCACAGTGAGATTCCTTCCAGCATTGCTCTTAGTAAGGAACTGGATACCCATGTCCTTGAACAACTAAGCTGTGTCAGCCAGTTGTCTGTGTTTGCTGGCTACCAATAGAAGTCCTATTGATCTTACAATCCTCATATAGAGCACTGAAGGTACTTAACAGCTGCAGGCCTACATCTGTGATTGCTCCCTTGCTCTGTGTCATGCCATAAAAGTTGAAGGTCAGACTCAGGTTTTTCTATTATCTCCCACGCTTCCAAATCTTGCTGTACAGCTGCATCTGATGACTGCTTTGTGTTTTGGCAGCTTCTTACAATTACCAAAAGTGCCAGATATATGTTAGTGTTTAAAGCTAGATGGAAGAAAGTGTATATGTGTGGCTGGTTTTCATGTCTATAAATATCAATAACCTTTCCAATGGTAAAAAGTATTAAGGTTTTCTTACAAAGCAGCTATGCAAATACAGTTCTAGGGTAGCAGCTGTAATTTGCAAAGGTTTTCCTGCCTGTTAAGCACTGAGATCAATTACTATAAATCAGTGCTGCCTCTCCATTCACAAATAAGAATAGGCACCGCTGCAGTATTTCAGTAGATGTAATAATTTTCATTCCTAGATATCTGTAACTTTCTCAGGACCTTTGTGATAATCTGCAGAATTTAAATAATTTCCATTTAATGGCTTGGGGTGTAACTCTGTACTTTGTTCTTGAGGTAATTTCAGCTTTCTGTGCATTTGACCTCCGTATCTTAGGGCTCTTTCTTTCCTTCCTCGGTGTGTGTCAAGCACTGTCCAACAGTGCTTTCCTCATCCAGGCTTGCCTTGCTGCTAGCCTTGGCTGTAGTTAGAAGTAGGCACCTGCTGCAGGCTTTGCTCTCTCCAAATGTGCCAGAGAAACTGCTGTTGGGGGCACATGCTGTCCTGGCTGCTCTGCTGCTTTGCCTATTCCGTTAACTTGCTGCTTTGTTAAATTCTTCCACATCTTCCCTCTGCAACCACATCAGGTCTAGGGATTGAAACCTGCCTATTTCTGTCACTTGGCAGCATCAGCACGTGTGGAATGGTGTGTTAAAGTGCCAGGGGTCAGTATCTTTCCACCTTTTGGTGGGTTGAAAGCTTCTCCCCAAATCCACTTAGTGTGGTGCCCACCTGTCCTTGTCTCCCTGCTCACTACTTCTAGAGATCTGCTGAGGAGCACAGCCTCCAACCACTTCAGCTAGAGTAGGGACAGCATTGCTCTGCAATTGTGCTCAGGCTGGGCTTGTTGCTCTGTGTGCTGTAGGTCATGCAGAAGCTCTCTCCATCGGTCCATCTACAATTTTATGAATAAGCAAATCAGTTGTCACCCTTCACTTTTCTCCCTTCCCCATCTTTCTTATGTGAGTAGGTCAATAAACAAGGTCTAATGAGCTACTTAAATAGCAAGAATGCTAATGACCTTCCTTTAGCAAGTAGTTAGGAGAACGGTGTTAATTATCATTGTTGCAGAGTATCAAGAAGGCACATAAGCATTTGATTAGGGACAACTCGAAAAAGTGTACTAAATGCAGTAGCTGAGATATTAATTTCATAAAAGTTGTAATTGGAGGCGCAGACAGAACAGCCCTCTTGTGCCAATTTGAAACATCTTATTGTGGATTTGCTTACAACGATGTTTATCCATCCTGGTAAATGCTATATATGTATAAAAAGTAGTTCTGCATGAAAAGACTTGCCTGTTTGAAGAAGCTGAACTTCTGCATTATGGTTTAAAATTAATATTTCGTAGTTCAAAGTGCTGTGGCTGCTCCTGAGCAGATCTGTGGACATGGTTACTCATGGTTCTTTCCTGGTTAGCCTGCTGTGTTAAAACAGGCCACTGGTTTGCTGGGGCTCAAATCCACACTTGTCTGACTTGCTTAAAAACAAGGCACTGGAATGAAGTGGATTGTTGTGATGTGATGCTGCAGTCTGGGCTTTTAGTCCGAGTTTGACCTGTACAGCCATTCCTCAAATACAGCCCATTATGTGCTTGCTGGTGATTACGTAGTGCTGTCTCTTCTGCCAAAGCAGGGTGTGAGATGAACTTTAGTTCAAAAAGGCAAAGAATATCCTGCAAGATAAGTGTGCAAATTATTCTCCCAGCATCACTCTTTTATGGACAATTAGGAGATATTCCACTGCTGTTGTGCAATAAAGGATGGAGGAGAGGTCTCAGTCCTGTTGCCTGCAGCATGTCACGTTACAGGAAAGCCACCTCCATTTTTGCCAAAGATGCTTTTCAGTGAGTACTTACTCATTTTTCAGGGCTTGCTTTCTATGAGGCAGAATGAAGTTTTCAGTGAACATTCCTTCTAACAATGAATCAAATCCTCTGGGCACTGCATTTGAGGGAACATTGCATTTATCCAGATTTCTTTCCCTTCTTGTGATCATGAATAGCATGAACAGAAGAGGGTGCTTTCCCATGATGGAGATCTTGGTACTTCACCTGATGAAGACAGAAGATGGCATGTGATATACTTTCATGTTTTTGATTGTTCTTGTTTCTGTAGCAATTGCCAGCTGCTTGGGTGGACTTCTGTAACCCAAAGAGGATCAGTCATCCTGCAGAGTCTTCCCCCATATTAATGCATGTGACTGTGGAGGGTAAAATGGGACTTGCTCTTGCAGTCCAACATCTTTCACCCAGAGGGTGGTGAGGCACTGGAACAGGCTGCCCAAGGAGGCTGTGGATGCCCCATCCCTGCAGGCATTCAAGGCCAGGCTGGATGTGGCTCTGGGCAGCCTGGGCTGCTGGTTGGCGACCTGCACACAGCAGGAGGTTGGAACTGGATGAGCACTGTGCTCCTTTGCATCCCAGGCCATTCTATTCTATCTGATGTTGGAAAGGAAATACTGCAAGAAAAGGAGCCCCCAGTCCCTCATCCTTATTAGCAGTTTCTTCAAGCAGTAACTTTACATTGAGAGCTTGCTCCATG